TTGCCACCTTGCTGGAAACCTAAGTGGCTGCTGGAAAGGAGTGACAGGACCAGTTTAGACCACCCAATCCTTAATCCAGAACACCAAACCGTGTCAGCTGCATGTCAGAATAAGAAGCCGTTGGCTCTGTCTCCTCCCCTGGAGTGAGATTTTGACTTTGTCATTCCCGGAGTCCAATTTTGCTGGAAACTAACCGGCTCAGCTCGAAAACCCTTGAAATCCTTTCCTGGGCCAAACCCAGCTCAGCGGTGAAATCTCAAGTTTAATCCGGGCACATTGGGGAGAGAAAAGAAGCCACGATTCTCCCTGGCAAGCCAACATTGGTTTGGTCCTTTTCTGAAGATGGGTTATTTTTCTTGGAGGTTAATTTTTTCTTCTTTCTGTGTTTCCCATCTTGTTCTCTTGAAGATCCAATCCCAGATGCCCTCCACGCTGGAGAAGAGGCTGCATCCTTAGACCCCTTTCCAAGTCCTCCCGTTGACGGCACAGCCAGCTGAGATCAGACCAGCATACCACCGCCACGTCAGAGACATCTCCCACGGCCTCCCTGGCAGTCAGCTGTCTGGGGCTGGGCTTTTGAGCTGGAGCTCACTTCCCCCAACACTGGCTCTTGGTGGAACCCACCATTGATGGCCAAACCCATTGTGGCCTTGGAGGCTTCTCCCCTCAGCCTGCACCGACCTTCGTTTTAGCCCTGAAACGACAACACCACCGCACAGCCATGAAGGAGACAAAGAGTGTGACGACAAAGAAGCCCATAATAATATCCGCTCCGGCCATCCCTTCCTCGGGATCCAGCTACTGAAGGTCTGCCTTGTGATGGCTGCAACCTTTTCTGCCTGGAGAAGGTCTCTCTCTTGCCTCAACCAGACCTGCTTAACCAGGGGGTCTCCCCTCCTTCCCACCTGCTCAGTGGGGGCGGTGCCCGAACAATATTTGGGTCACTCAGCACCCCTTGCCAGCATCTGCAAAGACACCCCACCTCTCTGGTCGCCTTCTGTCTCCGGACCCCCCTAAGTCCTCTTCCATCGAGGCAAAGCTGGGGATTCCAGGACTTCTGGAACCATCCAAGTTGATCTGGCCAAGAGCCGGTCAGTTTTCCGCAAACCTCTGCAGCGCGTTCACATCGAGTGGGCAGGCGCACACACAGACACGTACACACACACGTACGCACCCTGGTCGCCTTCTAGGAAATTGCACTTTATTCCTAGGGCCTGCAATTGCACCCTCCATTTCCACAAGCAACATAAAATCTTTCAGGCTAGGTTGATTTTTTTATAGCCTTGTATCTACATTATTACTAAAAGAAATTAAAACAGTTTTATCTCTTTAATAGTGCAAGCCGCCCGGAGGTACCATGTGGCAAAATGGACGTTTAATAAATGATACAAATAAATAAATAGTCAACGCTATTCATTTAGTGACTGTCCAAGGTTAGAACTGGACTGAAAAAAGTGACTTATGACTGTTCTTCGTACTTATGACCGTCGCAGCATCCCCAAGGTCATGTGATACAAATTCAGACGCTTGGCAACGTATTTGCGACGGTCGCACAGGGTCTCGGGATCAAGTGATCCCCTGATTCCGATGAGCAAAGTCAATTAAGGAGCCGGATTCACTTAACGACGGGGTTACTATCTTAACTAATGCAGGGATTCACTTAACAACTGTGGCAAGGAAAAGTCGTAAAACAGGAAAAATTCACTTATCAAATGTCTCACTTAAGAACAGAAAATTTGGGGGCTCAATCCTGGTCGTAGGTTGAGGGCTACCTGCAAAAGAAGCCGAATTGGATCTTTGCAGCTCAAGAGGGCTGCGAGAGACGGAAAGCAGGAAATAACCTTTAAAATTTCACTCCTGCAGTTTGAGCAAGAGTTCCTATTATTCCCCCTTAAAAGGCTGAGTTTCTCTAAGCACCCTCTTTCAGCCTCACCATACAGCCGAAAAGGAAGGAAACCTCCACCCTTGTCAGAGGAGGCAATTCCAGGGAATTCCAGGGCTTATCCTCCTGCAAAAATTCGGGTTTTTAAGGCCATTTATCAAGAATATTCCTGGTCTCGGCTCCAGTGAGCCACGGATAGACAATGAGGTTCCCAGATGAGATCTTTCCAGCTGGAACTAAATTTATTCCACGATGTTCTGGCTCTGAGATGCCCAGAGATTAAAAAACGGCAAGGATGATATGAGAGTTGGAGGTAAATCCTATGAGCTGAAAACCGAAGAGGCAAAAAAAAAAAAAAAAAAAAAGGAAATGAGAAAATGCAGAAATAAAACCCAGAAAGGAGGGAGAGGCATAGATGACAGTTGGTGAAAAAGGATCAGAAGAAGGAAGGAGACAGAGCCGTTTGTGCAGAGGGACAGCAGGAACCTCAGAGGTCAACTTTTCAACATGTATGGAGAGCAGATCAGAGTAAGAGACCCTCTACCATTCCAGACAAATGGTTGTCCAATCTTTTCTTTAAAAACCTCCGGTGATGGAGCCCCCACAACTTCTGGTGGCAAGCTGTCCCACTGGTTAATTGTTCTCACTGTTAGGAAGTTTCTTCTTAGTTCCAGGTTGCTTCTCTCCTGGATTAGTTTCTAGCAGTTGCTTCTTCTCCTGCCTTCAAGTGCCATGGAGAATAGGTTGACCCTGGGCTCTTTTCAGATTTAACAAGGACTTTCATATATTTTTATGAATTTGGTTTAAAAAGCAGATATAGGGAAGATTTTTGGTAGTGCTGGTTAGGAAAATGCCTCTGCAAGGCACTTTTAACTTGCCTCAGGATTTCTCTCTGTCTCTAGGTGGCATTCTAGTAAAATCCAATCTTCTATTGTTGCCAAAAAAGCCCTTTGTGGACACACACACTCAAAGTAAAAAGTCTTGAAAGAAAGAAAGAAGAAAGAAAGAAAGAATGAAAAAGAAAGAAAATGAAAAAGAAAGAAAAGAAAAAGAATGAAAGAAAGAAAAAGAAAGAGGAAGGGGAGGAGTGGAGAGGAAAGAAAAGGAAAGGAAAGGAAAAAGAGAAGGGAAGGGAAGGGAAGAAGCCTCATAGGGGCCAGGTCTTCCAATGGAGCAGGAGAACTCTGGAAAAGGCTGGGAAGGAGGGATTTTCTCCCTGGGGAGCAGATCTGGGCCAAGACGTCCTTCCTTGCGACGGTTGGTGGGTCAGTCTCCGAGGACTTTGCTGGACTTTCGGCCCTGGGGGAATCCAAGCCAGGGTGGAAAAGGGCCAGTTGGAGACACTCGAAGTCAGGCAGCTTTGAGCTCCAGGATGGGGCCAGAAGTGCTCCTGGGTGTCTCTTTCTGCCCCCTAAGACTCTAAATGCCCCCTAGGATGGCGAGGACCTTCCCTGGCAGGAGGGCAGAACACACAGACACACCCACCTGCTGACCCTCCGGAGAACGCCCGAGAAGCCAGGCCCAGGACTCACCTGAGCTTCTGCTGCTGCTCATCACCTTCCTCAGAGCTGGACTGGGACTTGTCCCAAATTCTGGCCAAAGACGGATGGGGGGGGGGAGAATGGAGGGCTCTGGGCCTTCCCCTTCCTGGAGCCCCCCCCCAGCCCCCAGAGCCTAGACTGGCTGGTGCCAAAGCCATCAGGGAGTTAATGAAGTGGAGAATTTGGTGGCGACTGGACGGCTGGCGTCACCCCTGGCGTCTCCCAGAGCCACACTGCCTTTGACCTTTACCCGGCCACAGCTGCTCTGCGCCAGGGATGGGGGGTGCCATCTCAACTGCTGTAAGTCAAGGATTATATATATGGTATATATATATATATATATAGGAAAGATAGATACGATATAGATAGAGTAGATAGATAGATAATGATAGATGGATAGATAGATACGATATAGATAGAGTAGATAGATAGATAATGATAGATGGATAGATAGATATAGTAGATATAGATAGATAGATAATGATAGATGGATAGATACAGTATAGATAGATAGATAATGATAGATGGATAGATGGATAAATACAGTAGATAGATAGATACAGTAGATAGATAGATAGATACGATATAGATAGACAGATAGATAATGATAGATGGATAGATGGATAGATAGATACAGTATAGATAGATAGATAATGATAGATGGATAGATGGATAGATAGATACAGTAGATATAGATAGATAGATAATGCTGGATAGATAGATAGATAGATAGATAGATAGATAGATAGATAGATAGATAGATAGATAGATAGATAGATAGAGTGGTCAGAAGTCCAGCTGAGGGGTCAGAAGTTGATGGAGGTGGCTGTGATAGCTAAATTGACCGTTTTGATTAAAGGGGAAAAAAATACTTTTCTTTCTACATGGAAACCACTTCTGGACTTTGTGCTTGAGGTGGGGGAAAAATATGAAACTTCCATTGTGGATTTTACCAATTGGATGGATTTGCTGTTATAGAAAAAATGGCTAGTTTATACGATTTGGTAAAAGTGACAAGTTGCTTCATTCTACTGCAACAGAAGGGAAATAAAGGCTCCCCCCACTTTTTCCCCTTTCTCCTCCCTTCCTTTCTCTTTCCCCTTTTCCCTCCTCCTTCCCTGGGTCCTATCATTTGCTTTCAGATTTTTTTGAATTCTATTCTATCATCTAATAAAAATGTTTTTTTAAAAAAAACCAAAGTCCACCGAATGGGTTGTGTGGAAGGGGGCTATTTCCCTCCAGGTTGAGATGGGGGGGTGGGAGATCTAAACACATCCCCCCCTCCAGGATTGGTGCTGGGGGCACAGAAAGTGTCTCCAACCACCTGAACCTGCCAGGTGGGACCCTCTCCCTTTTGGGGGAGGGGGACACCCACACGCTGCCCCCCTCCTTCCTCTCTTCCTCCTCCCCAGCAGCCCCTCCCTCCCTCCGTTGCTGCTGATTCCGGAGATGCCGCTTCACCTGCCGGACACCTGCCTGCCTTCTCCGTCTGAAGCGGCGGCAGGAGGCGGGTCCTGGTGGACACGTGTCCCGGGGGAAGGGGGCGGAGCGGGGCCGGTAACACGTGTCTGCCAGGCAGCTGCGGCTTCCCCCGTCCCCCGCTGGAGGGCTGGCCGGGCAGGGGCGGTCCGAGGCGGCAAGAGGAAGGGAGGAAGGGCTGGCGGAGCGGCGGAGCTCCATGGCTGCGGTCTACGGCGGTGTGGAAGGGTGAGCTGGCCGGCCCCGCCGGGAGAGGAGCCGGGGGAAGCTTCAAGCAGCCCCTCGGCGCTTGCATCGCCTTCCCCGACTCACCTGGCGACTCACCTGGTCCAGGTGAGGCGGGGAAGGCGATGCAAGCGCCGGGGGGCTTCGCCCGCCCCAAATCGGGAAGGGGCCGGCGAAGGGGAGGGGGCTTGGCTGGGAGTCGCCCCTCCTGCCCAATTGGGGTGGCCCGCCCCGGACCCCAGGTGTTGGGTGGTCCAAGCAGTGTGTGTGTGGGGGGGGTCTTCTCTTCTCTGGATCCCCGCTTTGGAGGGGCTCCGAGGACCCTTCAAAAGTTGGGGGGGGGCTTGGAGACATCCCTCCGGGAAAGCCCTTTGGAGTGTTGCAACTTTGCAACAAGACCCCTCCCCCCCTCCAAACTCCCACCCCGGCCCTGCCGGCTTTCTCAGCGTTGGCTTCGTGCCAGGAAGCAGGTGTGAATGGACAAGGGGAGGGGGGAGATGGGGGTCGGGCCCCGCGAAGGCTACCTGCAACCGGCAGCCTTCCCCAGCCTGGCGCCCGCGGGCTTCTGGTTGCAGGAGAGGCCACCCACCGGCTGATTTGCAGGAGGAGGTCGTGGGAGGGGGTGACGTCATCGGGGCTGGAGGAAAAACCACTAGAGAAAGAAACGCTTGCATTGGGAAAAAAAAAAGGAATTATTTTATTATTCACAGATGTTGCTCCTAAAAACAGCCCTCCCTGCAATATTCCCGAGGTTGGCCTCACTTGAGCCCCCCCCTTTCTCCCCCCCCCAGGAAAGAGGGGCATTTCCCAGATTGCAAAACAGCTGATGTTCCATGGGGCTGGGCAGGGCTGCCATGCAAGGAGGAAGGAAGCCATGAAAAGCATGTCAGGACTGAGATTCGGGCTGGGCCAAAGGCTTGACTGGTTTTACAGAGGTTTCACAGATTAAAAGAGTTGGAAGGGACCTTGGAGGTCATCTAGTCCAACCCCCGTTTGCCCAAGCACGAGACCCTACACCAGGGGTCTCCACACTTGGCAACTTGAAGTCCACACGTCTTAAAGTTGCCAAGTTTGGAGACCCCTGCCCTACACCATTTCTGACAGAGGGCAGTCCAGTCTCTTCTTGAAAGCCTCCAGGGATGAAGCTCCCACCACCTCTGAAGGCAACTTCTGTCCCATGGGTTGATTGTTCTCACTGTCAGGAAATGTCTCCTTATTTCCAGGTTGAATCTCTCCTTGATCTGTTTCCATCCATTCTTCCTTCTTCTGGCCTTCAGGTGCCTTGGAAAATAGCTTGGCCCCCTTCCTCCTCTCTGGGGCAGCCCCTCAAATACTGGAAGATGCTATCCTGTCTCCCCTGGTCCTTCTCTTCACTAGACTAGACATAACTCAGTTCCTGCAACCATTCATCATATGTTTCAGCCTCCAGTCCCTTCATCATCCTGGTTGCTCTTCTCTGCACTCTTTCTTGGCCAGCTTCAAAGGGAGAGAACATTGGAAACTTGAGATAACTACTTTGCAGATTGTGGCTTGCGAGCTGGGCAGAGAGGGGCTTAAACCGATGAGCCTGTTTTGTGGGCTTAAAAGAGTGTTTCTTAGCCTTGCAGATGGGTGGACTTCAACTCCCAGAATTCTCCAGGCAGCCGGTCAGTGTTGCTGGACGTGGTCTTGGTGGTTCGACACCCAGAAAAGCAGAGATTATAACCAAGATGAATATTAGACCAACAATTGAACAAGATCCAATCAAGGAACTCAGATGCACAATCCCAACAATAAATAACAACCCAATCAAGGAACCACTAAGAATGCTCCCACCAACATTGACACGGCAAGCCCCTTGGAAACAAGAGTGGCCAAAATTGTGGAAACCTTTTTGGAAAAGTGGATTTTCTGAAAGTATCTATTAACACCACTTTTTTTTTTTGGGAGCAGTACCATAAAATTATATATCAATGGAGAGATGATTTAATTAAGAATGTAAATGTAAAGAGCCTGAGTGGCGTAGGAGGCTAATGCCTCCTACTAAGGCAGCATTTAACATCCAACTGCCTGCAATTACTGCAAGTTCAAATCTCACCAGGCTCAAGGTTGACTCAGCCTTCCATCCTTTCTAAGGTAGGTAAAATGAGGACCCAGATTGTGGGGGCAATAAGATGACTTTGTATAAATATACAAAAGGATGAAGGCTATTGCTTAACGCATTGTAAGCCGCCCTGAGTCTCCGGAGAAGGGCGGCATATAAAAATAAATAAATAAATAAAAATAAATGCAATAACTTTTATGAAGGATTTGCTATTAGAATAGCAGTTACAGTATGAAGAAGAAAAGTGAAATACTTAGAAAAAATGAGATATATAAAAATGATCCCCATGTCAGTTAATGCTTAGTTGGGTAACCTTCAGCATGAATTACAGCCTTACAGCGTCTTCCCATGGAGTGAACCAAGTCTTTGAGTTCTGCAGCTGTTCTCATGTGAAACCAAGATGGAATGATGGCTTCTATTAACTGGGTTTTATTGCTGGGTGGCTTCTGACTAATCAGTTTCTTTAGTCAGCTCCATAGATTTTCCATTGGGTGAAGGTCTGGGCCATTCCAGCAGTGGAATACGTTTCTCTTGAAACTCCCCCAAAAAAGTGGTTGTTCTTAGCCATCAAACCTCAAAAATGCACTTTTCCCAAAAGGTTTCCACAATTTTGGCCACTACTGTGCAAGCAGAGAGCAAACCCTGCTCTCTTCTAGCATTGATGATGTTACTTAGTTGGGTCATGAAACGTCTGCAAGGAAAAACCAAGCTCAGAGAGCATCAAACACCCCACATTTCACCCCCTGAGCCTCAAAGATTCTCTTCTGTGTTTTTTTTCTATTGTTCCATGGAATTTTTACGTGAGAATGCAGATAGTCCTCCACTTACAACGGTTCGTTTAGTGACCATTCAAAATTACAACAGTACTGAAAAAAGTGGCTTAGGACCGTTTTCCACATTGCAGCTTCCCCAGGTTCACAGGTATCAAAATTCAAACGTTTGACAGCTGACTCACATTTATGATGGTTTGCAATGTCCCAGGCTCACGTGATCCCCTTTTTGCAACCATGTGACAACAAAGTCAAGGGGGAGCCAGATTCACTTAACAACCAGGTTACAAAACTGAACAACTGCAGTGATTCACTTAACAACTGTCTTGCTTAGTGACAGAAATTTTGGGCTCAATTGTGGTAAGTCAAGGACCACCTGTACAATTTCTGCCATTTCTGCCCTCCCACCTTTACCTTCCAAGAAGCTATTGAGGGTCCCTCCCAAGGCATCTGCCGTGACCCTTTTCCTGCTGGGGGCTGAGCTGCCTCTTATCTAAGGAGCTGTTGCCCTTCCTCTCAGTTCATAAGGAACTGGAAACCGTTTGTGGACTTTCTGCCTGTTAAAGACAAGAGCAGATGTTAACAGGCAGCCCTGAAGATTAGTTTTACCTGTGGGACAAAGGGCTTCCTGTACTTGACTGACCCCCGCCAAGCTGGGAAGCAGCCTCGTCTCCCGTAGCCCCTCAACTTCAAGTGGCATTTTTCTTCCTCGGCAGGGGCGGGACCCACTCCACGGCGGTGCTGCTCTCTGAAGATGGCAAGATCCTGGCCGAGACCGAGGGGCCCTGCACCAACCACTGGGTGAGGATGGGGCCCTTCTCGAGGGGGAGGGCAAAGGGAAAACGTGAGTAGGGGGAGCTGCTTGATCTTGCTTTTGTTCCTATGCATGTAGAAAAAAAACTCCCAGCTCTATGGCAATCTTCCTTCGGAAGGATGCTCTGGAAAATAATATTTAAATAGTAATAGCAACAGTGCTGAGACTTACAAGCTACTTCACAGGGCTTTAAGTGGTTTACAGAGTCAGCCTCTTGCCCCCAAACCATCTGGGTCCTCATTTTACCCACTTCGGAAGGAGGGATGGCTTGAGCTGGTCAGGATCGAACTGCTTGCAGTGGGCAGAGTTCCCCTGCAATACTGCATTCTAACCACTGTGCCACCACGGCTCTTGACAGACAGACTGACGATAGGTGGAGATGGATGGATGGATGATAGATTAGATAGATAGATAGATAGATAGATAGATAGATAGATAGATAGATAGATAGATAGATAGATAGATAGATAGATAGCAGACAGACAGGCAGGGTCAACCTTGAGCCAGTGAGATTTGAACTCCTGGCAGCCAGCAGACAGCAGAAGTAGCCTGCAACAGGAACATTGGCCAGGACCAGGAAGACTACAGGCAGTCTTCAATTTACAACAGTTCATTTAGTGACCATTTGAAGTTACAAGGGCACTGAAAAAAGTGCCCTGCTACAATCATTTTTCACACTTACGACTCTTGCAGCATTCCCATGGTCACGTGATTGATATTCGGATGCTTGGCAGCTGGTTCCTATTTATGACGGTCGCAGTGTCCCCCGGGGTCACGTGATCCCCTTTTGCGACCTTCTCCCAAGCCAGATTCCCTTAACAAGCGGGTGACTAACTTTAACAAGTGCAGTGATTCGCTTAACAAATGTGGCAAGAACAGTTGTAAAATGAGGCAAAACTCACTTAGCAAATTTCTAACTTAGAAACAGACATTCTGGGCTCCATTGTGGTCATATGTCGAGGACTATCTGTAGTGCAGAGGTGTCCAACCCTGGCAACTGTAGGCCCGGTGGACTTTAAACCCGGTGGAGTGGCTGGGGAATTCTGGGAGTTGAAGTCCACCAGGCTTAAAATTGCCAAGGTTGGACCCTCGTGGTGTAGAATACCTGCAGATATTTAGGGCCATTTTGCCTTGCAGGGTGTGGACCCTGACCACCAGCCACCCCCTACCAGCATGGCAGCTAGGTCCAGCAGGGGGCGGGTCTCCTCCCCACCCCCTGCCCCCAATCCAGAGCTGCAACTGGCAGCTGCTACCTGCAGTTGGCTTTGCTTGGCAGGGCTGAGTTTGATGCCAGCCTGGGCTTGAGGGTGGGGGAGGCCGAAAGGAGACACCCCCTCCCCAATAGAGATGGGGGGGCGCACCATTGAGGGAAGTTGCTGTGAAGCTTAGTTAAGATACGGGGGGGGGTCCAGGGGGCAGAGGGAGGGCCAGGTATATTTAAATGTGTGCAGGAAGGGGTGTAAGTGTGTCTCTTTTCCTCCTCTGGGCGAGAAGCTGGTTGGGTCGGACACCTGCCTGGAGCGGATTGACGCCATGGTCCAAGATGCCAAAAGGAAGGCCGGGGGCGACCCACACATTCCCCTTCGATCGCTGGTGAGTCTCCCGCCCCCCCCCCCCGGAAACCCCCCCCCCCCCATTGTTCTAATTGTGAGGAAATTCCTCCTCAATTCCAGGTTGCTTCTCTCCTTGATCAGTTTCCATCCTTTGCTTCTTGTCCTGCCCTCAGGGGCTTTGGAGGATAGGTTGACCCCTCCCCCTTCTCTGTGGCAGCCCCTCCAATATTGGAAGACTGCATTCATGTCCCCCCTAGTCCTTCTCTTCATTAAACTAGAAATGCCCAGTTCCTGCCTCCGTTCTTCGTATGTTTTAGCCTTCCTTTGGGCAGTGAGAGAAGTTGGCCACGTTTGCCAGTTGCTCAACCCCAACTGGTGGTCCTTAGGTGAAAGTGAAAGTGAAAGTAAAAGGAGGAATCCCTTCCTGAGCTTCCAGCCCCAGAAACCCAGGGAGTTTATTAGAAAAGGTTCAAGAGACTTCTCCGTCCAGAGGTTCCAGATGTGGGACCACCTAGGTAGTCCATAACATCCAAAGATTCCCAGGACAGAGAAGGTTGGGGGATCTCCTCCTCCTGCAGGATCTCCTGTCTCCTTCACAATCTGTCTCAGGGGTTGGGGGCTTGTCGAGTCGTGGCTGGGGGCTCACAGTGTGGCTATCTGTGGCTGCAGGGTCTCTCCCTGAGTGGAGGGGAGCAGAAGGAAGCCATCCAGAAGCTCGTGGAGGACATGAAGCGCCGTTTCCCATGTCTGAGCGAAAATTACTTTATCACGACCGATGCCATTGGAGCCATAGCCACTGCTACCAACACCGGTAAGCCTTCCTTCCTTCCTTCCTTCCTTCCTTCCTTCCTTCCTTCCTTCCTTCTCTTGGTGCTCTCTGAGCTTGTTTATCTATTTGCAGGTACTTCACATCATCAGTGCAAGGAAATATGGGGCTGGCCCTCCTTGATAGTTCCTTGATTCTGATTTTCTGCTTGATTGTTTGTCTGGTGTTAATCCCTGTTTATCCTTGGGTGTTGGCTGCTTCTGGTCTTTTTGTTTCCTTCTTAGCTTTTGCATTGTCTCTTTTTAATGATGCGTAAATGTGGTTTATTTTGATGTGTCTGTTGATGACCGACTTGTCCGAGTGCCAGGCTGCCAGGGATTCTCCAGCATTTTTAGATACAGTTTGGTATTAGGAGGCTCACCAATTCTTGTGGGAAGTTGGGTTTTATTTGATAGTGGAGCACTTGGTTAGTGTCGGTGTTTTTTCAACAGAATTGTGTTTCTGATTTCCCATTGTTGCTTCTGCTGGTGAGGTTACCCACAAAGGATAGTACAGCTAGTCCTCAACTTACGACCACAATTGAACCCAAAATTTTATGTTGCTAAGTGAGAAATCTGTTAAGTGAATTTTGCCTCATTTGATGACTTTCTTGCCACAGCTGTTGTCAATCACTGCAATTCTTAAATTAGTAACACAATTACTAAAAAGGGGGCAAAATTACTTGAACCCCCAATACAGGTGGTCCTCGATTTACGACAGTTTGTTTAGTGATTGTTTGAAGTTACAACAGCACTGAAAAGAGTTACCTAGAACCATTTTTCACACTTACGACCGTTGCAGCACCCCCACGGCCTTCGTCCTTGGACTCCCTTTGTGGGCATTTCTTCCCCTCCAGGTGGTGTGGTGCTCATCTCAGGAACTGGCTCCAACTGCAAGCTCATCAATCCGGATGGCTCCCAGATCAGCTGTGGAGGATGGGGCCACATGATGGGCGATGAAGGATCAGGTGAGGAAATAATCCGTGACCCAACAGATAAATTTGCAGTTCTGGCTTCGGAAGATGGCAATGAAACACATCATTGTTCCTCAGACCTGGCCAGATTTCCTGGGGTGGAAAAAGCTCTTTGATCCACAGAGGACTTCTTGGGAGATTCAGACCTTAACAGATTAACAGAGTTGGAAGGGACCTTGCAGGCCATCTAGTCCAACCCCCAAGGGGGAGACCCTGACTAGACATACCCAATGCCTGCAACCGTTCAATGTCCGTTTAGCCTCCAAGCCCCGAATCATCTTTGTTGCTCTTAATCAAGGAGAGAAGCAACCTAGAACTAGGAAGAAATTTCCTGATAGTGAGAACAATCAACCAGTGGAACAATTTGACTCCAGAAGTTGTGGGTGCTCCCACACTGGAGGTTTTCAAGAAGAGATTGGACAACCATTTGTCTGAAAAGGTAGAGGGTTTCCTGCCTGGGCAGGGGGTTGGACTAGAAGACCTCCAAGGTCCAACCTTCCAACTCTGTTATTCTATTCTATTTTCCCTACATGCGCCACTGAAGACATTGATCGGTGGCCAGTTCAAGCTAGCTTTCTGTGAGGTTGCCCAGGATCTTGGACACCACGTGGCGAAGGCTAGTTGTGTTATCTGGGCTGATGCATGTTCCACATTTATCCCCTAACGCAGGAGTGGGCAACTCTGCCAACTTCACGGCCTGTGGACTTCAACTCCCAGAATGCCTGAGCCAATTGTAAAGTTAACATAGCTGACCATCCTTGCCCTAAGAGAGTCTAGATCAATTTTACCAAGTTGCCACGTGCTGAAAGGGCGATGGAGCGATGCGCCTGGGCAGAGAACTAGGACCTTTGAGGCTGAAGGGGTGGCTGCCAACCCTCGCCCGTCTTATCTAGGCCTGTAGGACAGCGGCTTCCTTGGGAACCCAAGGACCTGGATTTCCTGTACTGTATGGATGGGGATCAAAGCAAAATCCAGCCCACAGGCTGACCATCTCTTTTGGTCTCTGTGGCAGCTTATTGGATTGCCCACCTGGCTGTGAAGATTGTGTTTGATGGCTTGGACAACCTGGAGGTCCCACCACATGAGATTGACTACGTCAAGCAGGCCATGTTTGACTACTTCCAGGTAAGCAGGTGGTCCACCCCCACCCCCACCCCCAAACCACACCTTAAGCATCACCCTCCTCTGATGGGGGACTGGCATCTGTGGGAGGGGGAGGGGAGACCAAAGTCGTAGGTCGGCTGAAGCAGGAAGTCTCCCATTGGGAAGGCTGTAGGTCAGGGTGATGCTATGCTGTGGGGCTCGTGGGAAGGAGTTCCTGCTAAGAAGTGCTGAAGGAATGGTCGGATCTACTTTCCTCTTTCAGGAGAGGCGCATTGGGGTGGGGACACATCTGCAGGGTTTCTGAGCTCCAAGGAAAGACTTGAGGAGCTTCTGAGCTTCTCTGGAAGCCGATCTCTTAACGCTAGAGGTGAAACTAGTGCATAAGTCAGTATTATGATCTTTGGTTGCATAGCCAGCCAGGTGTTCGGATGGGATTTTTATTCCCCCGTTGTCCTTCCCAAGGACCTGCGAGAGGCAGATGTTGTTTGATGGGGTTCGCGGTCTCGTCGCAGGATGTCAGTGGTTCCCAAGTCAAGCTGCCCTCTGCAATTGACTGATGGTGAATTTGTCAATGCCGATGGGCGTTCAAGGGATTCGGTTCCAGTTGCTTTGGGATTGCACCCAAGGGGCCAATTATGTTGGGATTAACTTTGCTTTCTTCTGTCACAGTTGTTCTATTTCTATTTTCAGGTCTCTGTATTTTGTTACCTTCTCCAGTTCTTTCTCTTCTATTCTGCTGTCTCCAAGTACTGCCATGTCCACTATCCAGATTTTTGTCTCTCTGATCAACACTTGTTACATCTGGGGGTTATGTGATAGGTGCCTGTTTTGTTTTTTTTTTAATTTGATTTATATGCCGCCCTTCTCCAGAGACTCAGGGCAGCTTACAGTGCGTTAAGCAATAGCCTTCATCCTTTTGTATATTTATACAAAGTCAGCTTATTGCCCCCACAAACTGGGTCCTCAATTTACCTACCTTAGAAAGGATGGAAGGCTGAGTCAACCTTGAATCTGGCCAGATTCGAACCTGCAGTAATTGCAGGCAGCTGGTCTTAATAACAGGGTGCTTTAGACCACAGTACTACCAAGGCTCAAAACCAAGGTTTGATTGAATTCTAAAGTCCCAGACCAATTTAGTGCCCTACTTTTCTAATCAGTATGTCTATTTTATGGTCCCACCAGTTCTTGCTTGCAGACAAATGTTATTCCTTGCAGATCTTCCAAAAGCAATTGCAATAGCACTTAGACTTATATACCGCTTTGCAGTGCTTTTCAGCCCTCTCTAAGCAGTTTACAGAGTCAGCACATTGCCCCCCCACCATTTTGGGTCCTCATTTTACCCACCTCACAAAGATGGAAGGCTGAGTCAACCTGGAGCCTGGAGAGATTCGATCTGCCAAATTGCAGGCAGCCGGCTGTCAGCAGATGTAGCCTGCAGTATTGCACTCTAACCACTGTGCCACTGCGGCTCTTTGTCGTGCGCCATTGTTGCCACTTCTGTCATGCCGTTGCTTCTAGTAAGTCTGCCTGATCTTCTTGCAGCAGCTAACTAGGTAGTCCAGATTATTTTTATTATAACATGTGTTTGGGATTCAGATTGGCTTTGGGAAAAGGAAAAGGAGAAAGGAAAGAAAGGAAGGAGGGAAGGAAGAAAAGAGAAAGAGGCAGGAAGGAAGAGAGAGAGATGTTTTCTTCCTGTTTTCCAACAGGTTTCCGACCGGATGGGGCTCCTAACTCACCTCTACAGGACCTTTGAGAAGTCCAAGTTTGCAGGGTTCTGCCAGAGAGTGGCTGAAGGTAGGCCTGAAGGTCGAAGGGATGGGTAACTTTAGGGGAAAAAAACCCTGGAGGAGGATCCCTTCTCAGGCTGATCCTTAATCAAGTTCTTGGACTATGCTGAGTCAGCACGGGAAAGTTTTGCCCCTCAGTATTGGGTAGTTGCCGTATTGGGGAATTCTGACGTTGCCAGGTTGAGAGACAACTGATTTTGAGCATCACCAGGTGTGACCAAGCTATAAGTCAGGGGTGGGTTCTAAGTTTTTGTACTACCGGTTCTGTGGGCGTGGCTTATTTTATGGGTGTGGCTTGGAGGTCATGTGACTAGGTGGGCGTGGCTAGCTGGTCAGAGTCATTTCTGGAAGGTCCTCGCACTTACGACCAGTCCTCGCACTTATGACCCGACTCATTTGTTTGCTTTTAACACTGATCAGCTGTCGGACGGCCCTTTGAAGCCCCGCGGCAAGAGTTTAAACAGTTTTTTCCCCTCTAGTCATCAGCTGGGACTCAGGAGGCAGCAATAGATTGGGGGTGGGGCCAAATAAAAGGTAAGAATAACGTGGGTCAGTGAGGGGGTGGAGAACCGGTTCGGTGACATCATATCATCACCACTACCGGCTCGGCCGAACCGGACCGAACCGGGAGGAAGCCACCACTGCTATAAGTGGATGGGGAATTCTGGGAGGTGAAGTCCACTCAAGTTGTCAAAGTTGAAAGACACCGATTAGGCCATCAAAAAGGAAAATCAGGCTTCTGTTGTGAAAGTGACGGGACACGCCCAGTGTAGGAGACCCTGTTGTGATGTTGTGCAGCTTCAAGAGAGGCTGGTTGGGCTGGCCTACAGACACTCTGGCACAATCCCCAGCTAGATTATTTTTTACCCAAGTCTTGTCGGTAAGGAAGAACCATCCTGGGGGAGGATCCTGTATTCTGCAGGCTGGTTGGGGAGGCGAAAGAAAAGGGCAAAACCGTTTCCCCGTTTCTTATGCAGGTGCCAAGGCTGGGGACCCCCTGTGCCGCTACGTATTCCACAAGGCTGGAGAAGTCCTGGCACGGCATATCGTGGCCGTCCTGCCCAAAATTGACCAGGTAACACGGCATGGGATGAACAGCAAGAAAGGGGCAGGATTGAGGGCAGTTGCTGCTTCCTTTCCCTAACATCCCCCCAAAGTTAATTTTGGCTTATGAAGCAGCCATAGTGATCCTAACCCTAAGGCATAATGCGGGGGGAGCAAGGTTCAGGGGTCTCCCAAGGATGAAGGCGGAAGGGGTCTCCTCTTTTACTGATCTGGATCCAAGCTGGCTTCTAGCTGGAAGTGCCTCCTTCTCCAGAGGCTTTGCCCTAAGCCAGAGGTCTTCAAACGTGGCAGCTTTAAGACTTGAGGACTTCAACTCCCAGAATTCTCCAGCCAGCATAGCTGGCTGGAGAATTCTGGGAGTTGAAGTCCACAAGTCTTAAAGCTGCCACGTTTGAAGACCTCTGCCCTAAGCCATCATGTGGTTTGGCATCTTGTATGAATCAATGGCGGCTTGTCTGATAAACCCTGGCGTAGGTAGGAACCACGAAAAAGGAGAGTTGTTGTGTCTCATGCACCGACCCAACAGGACAAGTAGAGATTCCAACAGATAGTTGGGACTGCAGAATGGACAATCGCAACCAGCCTGCCTCCCGCCAAGGACCTGTACATCGCCTGGGTCAGGAGGAGGGCTGAGAAAATAACGACGGGCCCTTCGCGTCCAGGACATAAACCGTGTCCACTCCTCCACTCAGGACGTCGCTATAGTTGTGTGTCTAGTGGTGTGGCTCTTTCTGCATTTACCCATATAGTAGGGCTGGAGTATTATTAATCCTTATTATCTTTACTTCTCTATTATTGGTATGATTATTATTATAATTCTCTCTCTTGCTTTGCAAGTACATGGTCTGCTTCTACACCAGAGACAATTCCTCGTGTGACTAATCACACTAGGCCCATGATGGTGAATCTATGGCACATGTGCCACGCGGAGTCATATCGGTGGGCACGTAAGCTCATCTCCGCCAGCTGATTTTCGGGCCTTCTGGGCCCACCGGAAGTCAGGAAAAAGGCTGTTTCCAGCCTCCAGAGGGCCTCTGGGGGGTTGGGAAGGCCGGTTTTTTTGCTCTCCCCAGGCTCCAGAGCCTTTCTAGGAACCTGGGGAGGGCGAAAATGGCCTTCCCCACCACTCCCAGAGACCCTCCAGAGGACGGAAGTCAGCAAACAGGCTGTTTCCAGCCCTGGGGGGTGGGGGAGGGGAGGCCGTTTTCACCCTCCCCAGGCTCCTAGAAAGGCTCTGGTACCTGGGAAGAGCAAAAAATGGGCCTACCGGGACCACCGCGTGCCAAAAGCGGTGGGAGTGCAGGGGGGTCACGCATGCATGCGTGGGCGGGGCAGGGCACATAGAATTATGGATGAGGGCACACGTGCGCGACCCCCCTCCACCCACTTTTGGCACGCGATGGCAAAAAGGTTAGCCATCACTGCACTAGGCCAATTGTGGGGAAAAAGGTCGTAAAAGGAGGCAAAACGCACGTTAACAACTGTCTCACTCAGCGACAGAAACTTTGGGCCCAACTGTGGCCGTAAGTCGAGGACTACCCGTATCCTGGACAGAGGGGCCATCAAAGGCGACCCACAGATCCTCACAGCTTCTGATTCCCTGCAGATCTTGCTCGAAGGGGATTTGGGATTGCCAGTCGTCTGCGTGGGATCCGTGTGGAAGAGCTGGGAGATGATGAGAGGAGGTGAGGACCCCCATTGCTGCCCAGCTCAGCAAAGCTGAATCTGCTTCCGGGTCAGCTGCCCCCAGAGCAGGGGTCTCCAGCCCCTTGGCCAATTTGAAGACTATGGACTTCAACCCCCAGAATTCTGGGAGTCCATTAGTCTTGCTGGCTGGAGTTGAAGCCCACCAGTCTTAACCGTGGCCAAGGTAGGAGACCCCTGGCCCAATGAAAAGGAGGGCCAGTGTCAGCTTAAAAATCTCAGGCTGCCCATGAAGTAGGCAATGCAACGGGGAGGGGTCTTCCCTTTTGCAAGCAGATGGAGCTTGGCCCCTGCTTGAGCTCTCCAAGGCAAGGAGCCCTTCTTGGAAGGGAGTCCGATGGCTCCCTTCTCACATGATAGCAGTCTTCCAATATCTCAGGGGCTGCCCCGAAGAAGAGGGAGCCAACCTCTTCTCCAAAGCCCCTGACGGCAGGACATGAAACAACGGATGGAAACTCATCAAGGGGAGAAGCAACCTAGAACTAAGGAGAAATTTCCTGAGTCAGAACAATTAACCAGTGGAACATATTGCCACCAGAAGTTGTGGGTGCTCCATCACTGGAGATTTTCAAGAAAAGATTGTCTGGGAATGGTGTCAGGCAGGGGTTCAGACTAGATGACCTCCGAGGTCCCTTCCAACTCTGTTCTCCTGTCCTTCCAGGATTCGTTCAGGTCCTCAGTCAGGCGCACAGCCAGCGGCTCAACGGGGCCTTCTCCAAGTTCAGCCTGCTGAAGCTGAAGCAGTCCTCGGCCCTGGGAGGGGCCAGCCTGGGGGCCAAACACATTGGCCAAGTCCTCCCTCTGGACTACAAAGCCAACGTGGACGTCTTTTACACTCATTCCTTTGCCTAGAGACGGATGCCGGACAATTCCACACCAGCCTTGCTTGGGGGGGTGGGTGGGGGGCTCTCTCTGCTGCTTTGGGAGGGGCTCTGTATGGGCAGGTCTCACAACACACACACAAAGTTGTTTAATAAAAAAGTAGTGTGGCCTCAGGGGCAATACCACACACACACAGCAGATACAGGTAGCCCTTGACTTGACAGCCATCCGTGTAGCAGGGGGTTGGACTAGACGACCTCTAGAATCCCTTCGAATTCTGTTATTCTGTTACAACCATTCATTAAATGACTGGTCAGATTTGCAATGGCATTGAAAAAAGGAACTTATGACCGTTTTCCACTTTTATGACCATTGCAGCATCCCCATGGTCACATGATCAAACTTCAGATGCTCGACAAGACTCATATTTATGACGGTCGCAGTGTCCGGGGGGGGGGTGTGTGTGTGTCACGTGATCCCCTTTTGCGACCTGACAAGGAAAGTCAATGGGGAAGCCGGATTTGCTTAGCAACCGGGTTACTCCCTTAACAACCAAAGCGATTCATTGAATAACTCTGACAGGGAAGGTCGTAAAATGGGAGCAAAGCTCACTTAACAGCCGCCTGGCTTAGCAAGGGACATTTGGGGCTCCGTTGCGGCCTACCAGTCCTGAAAGCTTGGATTCCTGCTGGCAAGGGAGATGGAGCCCGACCAGCTCTTGCTAATCCCAGACCGACTGTTCCTACCGGTCCCCATGGCTTGAGTCAGCCCAGGAAGGCCCTGCTTGTCCTGGACAAAAGAGGACCCACAGAGGGGCTTAGCAGCCCTACAATTGTGGGGCTGCCACCAGCTGGAGAGCCACAAAGTTCAGGCCTAACCTAAAGCAAAGCTTGACTGGCATTTAGAGAAAAGGTTTTGCCTCCTAGGTTCTCCCCAGCTTCCCTGGCATTTCTGCCACCCCACCGCCCCCCAAACCAGGCTGCCATCCCTGGGGGGCAGCAGAGCGTTTCCTGCACGAGCGGGAAGATCCCAAAAAGACCCCGGCCACCACGCCCAGCTCAAAATCGGTTTATTGAAGAATGCATTCCTGTAAAAATGGGCAGCGCATCGTTGCAAAGGCTTCCTTGGGAGGAAATCGGAGGGAAGTGGGGGGCCTTGCACCATCCTGCCCCTCGCTTCTCATCAAACCAGCCAAGGCAGGAAAATATATAAGCGCCTCTGCCCCACCCAAAGCTTAAAAGCCAGAATCCCCAGCCATTCCTGATCTCCCCCCCCAAAAAACAACCCCAGGGGGAAGGGGGAATCTGGAGCCTTTTTTTTTTTTTTTTTTGCTCCTGTTTGCAACACCCGTCGCTTCCTATGTCAACTTTGCCTGGGAAGGGGATCCTGATGTTGGCCCAACTCTGCTTGCAAGCAGCCGTGTCCAGGAAGGAAGGAAAAGGAGAAGATGGATGGAAGGAAGAGAGGGAGGGAGGGAGGGGAGGGGCAGGCTGGGTCCCTTCAGAGCAGCACCAAGCTAAACCCGATGGCACAGGCGCTGCAGGAAAGAAGCCCTGCCAGGATTTTCTGCAGGACCTGAACTACAAGCCCCATCATGCCAGGGGCCACAGTGGTAGGGAAGGATGAGCTGTTGGGAAGGGAGCAGATGGAGGAAGGCTGGCTTCAGCCAAGTTTTAGGGCAGAGATGGGCACTACAGCCCTGTTACGGCTTGTGGACTTCAACTCCCAGAATTCCTGAGCCTCAGGAATTCTGGGAGTTGAACCATAGGTTATAAAAGGGTCATAGCCCCCCCTGACTTGGGAGGTGGGGGAGAGGAGCCATGTTATTAAGCAAAGGAGGAGGAGGAGGTCTCGCCCGCCATCCTGACAAGGAGGTTATCTCCGACGAAGAGGTCCTTAGCTTGGAGTGGATGGCCATTTAGATTATCAGGGGCAAACGTTTAAGAATTGTGGACTTCAACTCCCAGAATTCCCCAGCCAGCATATGCAGGCTGGGGAATTCTGGGAGTCAAAGTCCACAAGCCTTCAAGTGGCCAAGTTTGGAGAGCCCTGGATTATCCCAAAGAGGAGGCCGATTTTTCTGTTGACAAGCAGAAGGAAAAATCTCTTAGGTGTCTTCACAACCTGGCCGGAGGTGGAATTTAAGGGTCGCCCCAAGCTCTGTGGGTTGAGGGAGCTTTCCTGCTTGTCATAAAGGACCTCTGGACTTCCTTGCCTGGTGGGGCGTTCAGCCTGCAGGGCTTCTCCTTCTGCCAAAGCTACCTCAAGGGGGACGCCTTCTTCATTTCCACTGAGCAGCTTTCCGGAGAGGGACCGTTTGGGTGGGAGATCATAGGAGTTAAGCTTTGCTCGAAGAGTATGGAAGGCAGCGGCCCCTTGCTTCCTCCCCCCTCCAGGTCTGGGCCTTGGGGAGTCTTGTGCCCATTGGATGGGCGCCAGGTTTCCTTTTCACGGGAGAAAGTGGTAGTGGGCATGGGTGGGCTCCACTGGGGATGGCTGCAAAGGATGGGGATTCTAGATGCCCAGCATGGAAAGCAGGAGGGCGTCTCTGGTGGAGAAACCATCAGTAGCTCCCAGCCATCCTTTTAGGATGCCCAACTTAGGCAAAGTTTGAAGACTTGTGGACTTCAACTCCCAGAATTCCCCAGCCAGCTTTTGCTGGCTGGGGAATTCTGGGAGTTGAAGTCCACAGGTCTTCAAATTGCCAAGATTGGACACTCTTGTTTTAGGAATTGCTCTGATCAGAAGAGGGAATTTTAGAAGAGGCATTAAGGATAGGAAATGGCAGCGGGGGCTACACCCAACGTCTTCTCCCAACGCCCAGCACCCCTTAACGTATCAGCTCCTCGAAAAACCCACCACCTCCCTCTTCCCCTCCAAAGGAGAACCCCCAGTGGTCGGCCACCGGACGGAGGGAACATCCATCCGAGCCCACAGACACCCAGCCTTCCTGTCCCAAAACACACCGCCACAAGGGGCTGGCCCCAGTTCCCATCGAAGCCTCCCACCCGCCCTCCCTGGGCAAAAGCAAAACAGAGGAAGGGGCTGCCCCTAAAGCTGGAGAAGCAGAAACGCCCGGCGGCCGAAACCTGCGTGCCCGCTGTGCTTGCAAACGTCCACCGAGGAGGGGGGGGGCACCTTCGCCTACCCCGCGACCGAGGTCCCAAATCCCGCCTGGGGGAGCCGCTAAAACCAAGGGGAGGGGGCACGGGGACGCGCAGAAAACGCTGCTGGTGGTCAGGCTAGGCTGGAGACTGTTTTAACAGAAAGCAGAGGGGGGCGGGGACCCCCGTCCGGAGGTGCCCTTTGGCGCCTTCCCACGGCGAGCGCGGCTTCTCTCCCCACTTGGTTGCCAAATGTCCCAACGCAGCAAGACGACAAGAGGGATGAAAGTAGCTTAGGAGGCCTCCGGTTGGCCGGCAAAGAGTCTTTTTCCCACCAGTGCTGATGGGCCCCGCTCCCCCCACCCCATTCCCACACCCACCCACGCAGAAAAAAAGTCTTTAGGAAGGGGGCCGGAGGACTCAGTACTTCACTCCAGGAACAAACTCCTTGGCGTCCGGATTTAAGGTGCTTTTGCTCTGCAAAGGGGAGAAAAAGAGGGAGGGGAGAGAGGAGAGAGATTAGAGTGACGGAGGACTCCTGCACAGGTGGGCCTCCACACACGGCCATTTGTTGAGCGACCGTTCAGTTACGACACGGGGGGGGGGGAAAACTGGTCCTCGCGCTGACAAATTTCTGCCTTGAAAGAACGCGGGTTAAAGATCTTACAGGCAGTCCTCGGATTAAGACAACAATTGAGGCCAGCATTTCCATTGCTAAGCATGGTGGTTGTTAAATGGATCATGCCTGATATTGCAACCTTTTTGGCCTCCGTTTGTTGCCTGGCTGAGACACGGGGTCTGGCAAGCTGGCAGGGGCAAACCTCAGGCATCTGACCTCCAAACCCCTGGTTTAACTGCCGCAAGTCCAGCAACTTTGATTTTCTCAGGACTGGAACCCCCGACTGGCGATCCTCAACCTACGACCACAATTAAGCCCAAATTTGCCGTTGCTAAACGAGGCAGTTGTTAAATGAGTTTTGCCCCCTTCTGCCACAGGGGTTAAGCGGATCCCTGAAGCTGTTAAGTGGATCCCTTTCTTTGCAAGGTGGCTGGGAAAGGTCACTCCGGGGGATCGTAGGACCAGGGGACACCGCAAGGGTCCTGAATCCATGCCAGTTGCCAAGCGGCCGAATTCTGACCGTGTGATCGTGGGGAGGCTGTAGTGGCCTCCAGTCCGGCTATCCGCCCCTTTTTTCAGTGGGTGTCACTTGGAAGGGTCACTAAAGAAACGGTGGCGAGTCCAGGGCTGTGTTCCTGAACACTCTTAATAAAGTCCCAAAGGTGCTTTTTTTCCCCCCTCAAAAGGCCACTGGACGTTCTGGTTTCTCTCTGAAGACGTTTCGCTTCTCATCCAAGCAGCTTCTTCAGCTCTGCCTGGATGGTGGGGAGGGGAAGGATTTATGTAACCCAGGAGAACAAACCCATCAGGACAAGATCCAGCAGCCCATCTGCATTGGAAAGACAAGGGCCCCTCTTCTGAAGACAACCAAGGCCATCTTTGGGACAGAGAGGGCTGCTGGTTTGAAAGAGGAGGTCCAAGAGGCCATCTGTGTCCAAATTGAGCAGCCCTCTCTCAACAGAGGGGGAGGAATACGACATCATCCATCTCCACTCTACAACACAGTTCCTTTCAGCAGTCCCAAGAAGGCTCCTTGTAGGAATCTGCAATCTGCATATGTGCAGGGATTTTCCTATCTTGGATGGCAAACCTCAGATAAGGAAGGTTACTTGCACGTAAGCGCCAGGAAATTACATTTAGAAGATAAGACCCTAATTCTGTAAACAAGAGGAACAGGAGGAGAGGAAGTGGGATGTGTGTTAGATTTTAATTATAGCCAAATATTATAACTGCTTAAGCAAAGCAGTAATGGCTAACCAAAGACTCTAGTTACCTGGAAGATTCTGTAGCCAATGAGATGCTGCCAAGTACACTGTAACTTGAAAGTAACAAACTATATAATGTCACTATGTAAGACAATAAAATCACCACATACATCCTCAACCTTTGTGTGTGTGTGGTCTCTACAGCTCCTCACCCATTTGCACCACTCAGGTGACCCCGAGGACACAGAAAAAACCTCCAGGTGGCCTCAACGACCCTCTAAAACAGTGTTTCTCAACCTTGGTAGCTTGAAGATGGGTGGACTTCAACTCCCAGAATCCCCCAGCCAGCGTTGCTGGCTGGGGGATTCTGGGAGTTGAAGTCCACCCATCTTCAAGCTTCCAAGATTGAGAAACACTGCTCTAGAAGGATGCCAATGACCAGCTGCCTGCAAGGAATAGAAATCCTTCCGTTCCCTACCATCCAGTAGATCTGAAGAAGCTTCTTGGATGAGAAGCGAAACGTCTTCAAAGAAAAACTAGAAAGTTCAGTTGCCTCTTGAGACAAAAAAAAACAACCCATGGTTGTCCCATGGTTTGGGACAACCATGACCTGGATGACCAAGTATCTCGGCGTGTGGGTCCAATCAGCTCACCCCAATGGGACCAGCCTGCCTCGCTCGCTCCAGCAGGAGGGGCTCACCCCAGATCCTGTCTGCCAAAGAACTGCAGCTGGTGGGGTCCAAGAAAAGAGCCTTTCCTGCTGTGACCCCCCATCTTCTCCCACCTAAAGTCAGCTTCGTCCCTGAGCTCCTGGGTTTCTGGAAGGAGCCTGAAAACCGAGTTCTGTCAGCTGGCTTGGTGAGGTCAGGGCGACTGAATGGAGCTGAGCATTTGCTGTCCGGATGCCCTCCCTGACGCCTATGCTGAGTTTGCAGCAGACATTTTCTCTTGGTGCCCTGAGAGAGAAACATCAGCTGCCGCCTAGGATTGAACTCTCAAACCTCCCAAGTGGGAGGCGAGCGTCTTCACCTCTAGGCCACTGTGCCCCTTAGTAAGTAATAAATACAATAAAAATAATAAAGAGGTTTTTTTTCGACGCAGAAGTGCCGCTTATAAACCGGCTCCCTCTGGCGCCCCTCCTTACCAAAATGTCCTCCGCGATGTGGCTGTGGGTGTTCTCGCTGACCGAGAGTCCGTTCAGCTGCTGCTGGAGCTGCCCGATGCCTTGAGGCAGGTCGCGGGATGGAATGAACCAGTCCTGGTCTTCTTCGTCCAGCATCTCCTGGAAGCAACGGTCCAGGAAGTCCTGCTCCTGAAGCTCCTCCTCCACCTGGCGGGGAAGCAGAGGCAGAAAAGAGGGTTGCAGCGGGCGAGGCTATGGCCACACGCAGGCCGGTCTCCTCCTCTGGCCGCTAGGCTAGCCAGCTTCAAGAAACGCATCTCGGGGTCCACCCACCTTATTAAGTCCTCACCCTGACAAGCGGGGTCTCAAACCCTCCATGAACTTCCCTGCAAACAGATCCAATACAGCCAGTCCTTGACTTATGACCACTATGGAGCCCAACAATTTCTGTTGTTAAGCGAGACAGTGGCTAGGTTTTGCCCCATTTTACCACCTTCCTTGCCACCGCTGTGAAATGAATCCCTGCAGTTAGTACCCCAGTTGTTAAGTGAATCTGTCTGGTGGGAAGGTTGCAAAAGGGAATCACGTAAACCCTGGGATACTGCGACCGTCGTAAATACAGTGCGCTGTGACCCCCTGGGGTTGCAAAGAGTTCGGATACAACTTAGCGACAGAATCACCAAAGAAGAAAAGAAACGAAGGAGGCTAAAACACCTTCACCCACTGCCTTCTTTCTGAATGCCATCACACTTTGGCTTTCCCACCGAACGCTCACAGAAAATAGCCTCCCGGCACCCGTTTTGATTTATTCCAGCAGCACTTGGTGGGATTTTAAAACCCATTTGGCGTTTTCGAGCCCATCACATCTTGCTGATGGTGGCACTGTGGACGAGGAGCCAGAGAGGGGGTGCCCAGAGTCAGGGACGTTGCGGGGGGGGAAGATTGTTAATGCCACGTCAGTGACTTCACAGAACATCTCCACCAAAATCTCTGCTTGGGAAGGAGGAAACGCTTGCTAGGCTGCCTGATTGAGAGAAACTACCTTCTTTTCACCCGTTTCAGAGAGAAATTAGTGGAAAGGAGGACCAGGGGCAACAGGATAGCAGCCTTCCAGTATTTGAGGGGCTGCCCCAAAGAAGAGAGAGTGAGTCCACCTCTTCTCCAAAGCTCCTGAAGGCAGGAGAAGCAACAACGGATGGAAGCAACCTAGAACGGAGGAGGGATTTCCTGATGGTGAAGAAGACAATTAACCACTTGAGTGCCTTGCCTTCAGAGGTGGTGGAGGTTTTTAAGAAAAGACTGGGCAGCCATCTGTCTGACATGCTCCAGGGCCTCCTGTCATGGGAATGTGGTTGGACTAGAAGACCTCCAGGATTCCTTCCAACCCTGTTATCCTGTTACTCCACTCCAGAGCAGGGAGCCAGCAGACCCTGGTTAAAAGCAGGAGCAGGAAGAGGAGGACTAGAATAGAGGCCAGAAAGCTGCCCGAGGACCGAAGCTCTGTGAACGGGGGAAAACATCCTCTGCCAGCCGCTCATGGCACCTCCAGCTAAACACCGTCTCTAGGTCTGGTGTCATCAACACACCAAATCCTGAAGCGGGTTTAAGAAGCGCAGCTGCCATGTTCTGAAGGCGCAACACACCCAAACAAAACCTACTTTGGCTCAGGGCGAAGGCTCCGCTCCCACCTTCAATCACACAGTAGCCAAAACCAGCACAACCTGGCTGAGGGCATTGTGTAAACTCAGCCAGCCAGTTCTCCAGAAGTAGGCTGGCCCAGCCCTGCCGGGAAACCCTGGATCCTAAATCTGGGAAATCCCGGCTCCTTCCCAAACTAAGAAGAGCAAGCAGAGGCAACTGGACTTCCTGAGTTTCTTTCCTTGAAAACATTTCGCTTCTTGGCCAAGAAGCTTCTTCAGCTTCATCACCAGTCAGTTAGAACGGAAAGAGCTTCTTGCATGAGAAGTGAAACACTTTTAAAAAAAGAATTTGTATTCGTTTATAATATAAAATGCCAAAAAAAAAATAGTAGGAAAAAAGGGGAGGGAAAAGTGTAGAAAAAAAGGGGAAAAAGAAAGAAAGAAAAGGCGTTGACTTCCGACTCTCCTTGGTGCAGTAGAATAAGATTATAACCTCAAACCTCAACTTCTTTACTTTTACATAATAGAATAAACTAGCCATTTCTATAACAACAAACCTATCATTATCTCCTTTTAACGACCCCATGATCCCTTGCGGGGTGGAGAACCTGGGCAACTGAATGGATCTAGCAGAGTGTTTTAATGGCCGGATGCCCTTCCTGTCACCAGTGCAGAGTTTTGTTCAGCAGATACATTCTCGGTGTGCCCAGAGAGAAATATCTGCCTCTACCTAGGATCAAACTCACAGCCTCCTGATTGTGAGGCGAGAGCTCCACCTCTAGGCCACCGTACCACTCCTATAACAACAAACCTATCTAACCGGTAAAACCCAAAATCAAAGTTTTATTTCTTTCCCCCCCACCTCAAGCACAAAGTCCAGAAGTTGAAACAAAAGTAATTGTGTTTTTTTTTCCCTTTAACCAAAGCAGTCAATTTAGCTCTGTCAACTTTGGCAGCCCTTCGTCCATGCTGGGAACCAAAGCCTGCTTCCATTTCTGTGCATCGTCTTGCTGCCTATATCACATCCTGGTTTTATCTTTATATTCACGTCGAGAACCTTCTGGATGAGGGTGGGAATCCTACTCCCAGTATTTCTTGGCTGAGAGAAGCGAAATGTCTTCAAGGAAACAAAAAAGGCAGAAAGTCCAGTTGCCTTTTGGAAAAAAACTCCTTTTGGGACACCCGTGACCCAGATGGCGGAGAATCTCCCTAGACTCGGAGTCGTTAAGCATTGCAGCAGCCACAGTTCAGCTCGGACCTGGCCCTGAAGGGGGCTGGAAAGCTGCAGGGTTTGCCTTCAGCACAAGTCTGCTGCTTGTGAAGAAGCAACGCACACCCGGCTGGTTTGACAAACCTTGTGTGGTTTTTATCTTTCCCCAGGCGGAGTTCAAGGCCCTGCTGCTTGCAATGGAAGGTTCATTCCCAAAGCTGCAGTCCCATGCCCTGTTGCAGCAGCCGCTTCGCGGAATTAGCAGGTCAGAGCCTCCCGCAGTTTCCCCGTTCCGGGCGGGCGACTTAGGATCCCACTCTTGAAAACAACTGCGCTAAACCTCTTCTTGCAAGCTGCCCTGGCAGAGGGACAGACGGTTCCTCTCTCGGCGGTTTCGGATTTCGCAAAGCATTCGAATCCTGGCCTTTCCTCAGAGCTTCTACTCTGAGAACTCCGGGGCACTCTCCTGTTTTCAAAATATTGTCACCTACTGGAAGCGCATGAAAAGCGGGTTACTAAATGAATAGATTGAGAGGTTGAGGGACTATGTGGTTAGTGGCCAGATAGGCCCAGTGCATCTCAAAAGGAGCCCTGGTAGCGCAGCAGACTAAAACACTGTTATTAACATCAGCTGCCTGCAATTACCGCAAGTTCGAATCTCACCAGGCTCAAGGTTGACTCAGCCTTCCATCCTTTCTTAGGTAGGTAAATTGAGGACCCAGTTTGTGGGGGCAATAAACTGACTTTGTATAAAATATACAAAAGTATGAAGGCTATTGCTTAACGCATTGTAAGCCGTCCTGAGTCTCCGGAGAAGGGCGGCATATAAATTAAAGCCAAAAAAAAAAAAAAGAGGGTCAGGCTGGAGGCAGCTGGACAAGAGGCTGCTCTGAGAAATTCCATTACTCACTTTTATTCCCCAGTGATAATTCTTCTCCTCCTCCTCCCTCTCAAATTCAGAGGTCCCCACAATTAGCAGCTTTAAGCCTCGTGGATTTTAACTCTCAGAATTCCCCAGCCAGCTGTGCTGGCTGGGGAATTCTGGGAGTTGAAGTCCATGAGGCTTAAAGCTGCCAAGTTTTTGGACCCTGGCTGAGGAATTCTGGGAGTTGAAGTCCACGAGTCTTAAAGCTGCCAAGTTTGGTCGGCCGCTGTCAGAAGTCTAAAGTGACCTGTGAATTATCTACGAGGGATTGGCCTGCTTCCAGAAGTTACGAATGCTTGAACGCTGGAAGTCTTTAAGAAAAACTGGACAGCCATTTGTCTGAAATGGGATAGGTTTCCTGCTTGAGCAGGGGGTTGGGCTAGAAGACCTCCGAGGTCCCTTCCAACTCTTGTTATTCTGCCTCTGCTCAGCCTCATAAGGCAGGGAAGTCGAGCATCAGGGGAGGGGAGGAGGAAAGTTTGTCCAAGAAAGTTCCAGCCAAGATCAGATTGCAAGTCTAGGCTTCCTGGCTCGCATTCTCACTGCAGAGGCTCCGAGCTGGAATGTGTTGTTGGACTCTGAGCTCATGGAAGGGCATCCAGATTAGCAGCTCCCTTCTCCCTAACCACGAAGCTGCCCGGAGGGCACCCTACCCACCTGGTGAGAAGTGACAGAGGCCCACAGTTGTGAGACTGCACACCAGGCCACGGAGCAAGAGTCAGGACTCAGTTTACCCTACGGCTTGTGATACGGAATGGCCCCCATCTCCTCCGCTCGTTTCTATTGCAACTGGCTCTGTCCAGACGCTTTTCAAAACCGAGCGGAGGCTGAGATTTTTGGGGTCCCTTGGTGGCATCACCTGCCGGTTGAAGTCCTCCTCGTTCTCCATCCACATGTATTCCGCGAAGGGGTTGCTCTCCTTCTCATCGTGGCCGTTCACGACTTGGTCCTCCTTGGATTTCGCCGGGGGGGCCGCCGGGGGGGTTGTGTTGGCCACATTGGAACCATTCATCCTTAGAGAGTCTGAGGAAGGCAAGAGGAAAGGGGAGGTTAGCTCGGGCGGGACAAAGGAGGCGCCCTCCGAACTCAAGAGAGAATCCGCTGGCTACGCGGCTGGAAAAGCTTCCCATAGGGATAGTCCTTGTCTTACGGCCGGAATCGAGATCAGAATTTCCGTTGCTAAGTAAGATGGTTGTTAAGCGAGTCACACTCAATTTTAGGACCCTTTTTTTTTTTTTTGACACAGCTGGTAAGCGAATCCCTTGCCATTGTTAACAACACGGTTGTTAAGTGAATCAGGCTTCCCCCATTGACTTTAGGTGTCAGAAACCGGCTTGATGGTTCCTGAATGGCGATCGCCTGACCCTGGGGACATGGCAAACGTCATAAATAGGAGCCATGGGGACGCTGCGATCGTTGGTAAGTGCTTTGAACTGTCATTCAAGGAATGGTTATAGGTCGAGGACTACCTGTTTATCTATATACTATACCTATATACCTGTACAGGTACGCCTTGACTTACAACAGATCATTTAGTGACTGTTCAGAGTTACAACGGCACTGAAAAAAGGGTCTTATGACCGTTTTCCAGAGTTATGACCGTTTCAGTCCCGTGATCAAAATTCAGACTTTCTTGGCAACTGACTCGGATTTGTGACGGTCACGGGGTCACGGGAGCCCCTTTTGCCACCTTCTGAGAAGCAAAGTCACTGGGGAAGCCGACAACCAGGTCACTCACTTAACAACTGTGGCCATAAAGATCGTACAATGGGACAAAATTCACTTAACCACCTCTCACTGAATGACAGAGGTTTGGGGCTCAATTGAGGTTGTAAGTCAAGGACTACCTGTGTATAGCTTTGCCTTCAACCAGATGAGGAGCTTTACCATCAAACCCAGACTGTACAAAATCCCAGTTTAATATAATACGACACCCAAGTGACAGCCCCTTTCCCCCCCCAAAGGCTCTCTGGAGGAATAATTCCACATCAGGAAGCCAAGAGACTAAAAACGTTTTTTCCTGGAATCTCTAGTGAAGATTTCAACAAAGACGACAAACACACACACAGAATGAGAGAGAGAGAGATTGATTGATTTTGGTGTGTGTGTGGGGGGGAAAGCCCAATATTTTCCACTTTAAGACAGGCCTTTAAGGTGGGAAGCGACACTTAAATCCAGGCTGGGCCTTGTGTTGTTTTCCCGCAACAGCTCAACGGAGGGTGGCTTCCCAGAAAGCAGCGTCACTTTGCCGTTTCTTCCCCGGAAGTCTGAGCTTGTGTGGCTTTTGACTTGGAATACAGGAAGGAAGGAAGGAAGGAAGGAAGGAAGGAAGGAGGGAGGGAGGGAGGGAGGGAGGGAAAGAAAGAAAGAAAGAAAGAAAGAAAGAAAGAAAGAAAGAAAGAAAGAAAGAAAGAAAGAAAGAAAGAAAAAAAAAGAAAGAAAGAAAGAGGCCCAGAGAAGGTCTATCCGAGTCTGCTCAGAAGGGGGAATAGCTGCATTGGTTTTCATCCCTGGCCACTTCAACTCCCAGAATTCTGACATTGTCGACTGAGGGATTTTGGGAGTTGAAGTCCCCCCCCCCGCATCTTAAAGTCACCAAAAAAAAAGAGAGAGGCTCTAGTCCATATTAACTCCAAATTGCTTAGAACCCCCCTTTTTTTGTAAAGGCTCTTAACAAGGTGGTCGATTTGTTGGCACAGGCCGCACAATGCCCCCTCCCCTTACTTTTCCCTATGCACCACTCCATGAGAACTCCATGACACTACGGCCGTCATAAATACGAGCCTGTGGCCAAGGGTCTGAATTTTGATCACATGATGGTGGGGATGCTGCAAAGTTCGCAACTGTAAAAAAACCATCCCTTTTTTTCAATGCTGTGTAACTTTGAACGGTCACTAAATGAAATGTTGTTAAGTCGAGGACTACCTGGATTGACTGCCAACGTGGCACTCTTCAAACCAGGGTGGATTTGATTTAAATCGAGTTGATTTAAATCACAATTTAAATCATGATTTAAATCACTAGTACAAAGGCTTGATTTAAATCAACTCGATTTAAATCGTAATTTTTAAAGAGCAACTGTCATCTCTGCTCCTCCTTTGACCCACCGTTGACTCCCCGATAGTCCCAGTGTTGCAGAATATACAGCCTCATGTTACAGAACTAAGCTCCATTTCATGCTGAATAAACTAAATTATTTATGCATCTTAGATAGAAAACTATTTTACGATAGATTTTTACCCCAAAAGTTTTTTATTAAAATAAATTCGATAAAAATAAAAAAAAATCCGATTTAAATTAAAAAAATCTGTTTTTTTTAAAAAAAAATCATTGATTTTTATCCACCCTGCTTCAAACCACTCTCCGTCTTTTGAGATGCCCTCTGGGGCTGACTTGCACACAGAAACTGCTGGTAGGAAATGCCTCTGCCATTAACATGGAACGGTACCGGGTTAGTACAATATAACTCTCTTATTTTACCAAACCTTTTACATTTCTAAAACGTTAATCATTTTCCCTTTTCTAGTTCTTGCATTTCTGACATGAGACGAGACAGGGGAAGGAGAGAGAAGAGTGGGGAGAGAGAGAGAGGTGAAGATAGATAGATAGATAGATAGATAGATAGATAGATAGAGATATAGACAGACATATAGATGGTAGATAAATAATAGATAATAGATAGAGGGAAGCCAGACCAGCCCAGATGCCTCTTCCTCCATGGGGCTCCACCCACGGAGGGATTCTGCAGCCTTCTCTGGAGCAGCCCACCGTGGCTTTCCCAGGCTTTTGCCAGGGCTGAGCCGCAAAAGCTGTGAGCTCTCCTGCCATATGGCCCATAAATCAGGCTGGCCTGGGAGAGGGGAGGGGAGGGGAGGGGAGGGCTTGCCGAGCGGGAACTGGCAGGAGAAAGGGAACCACGTCAGCTGCAGAGAGCGAGAGCATGGGCTGCCATGGGATGGCTTGGAGAGAGCAAGAGAAAGTCCTCAAGGGAGCTGGAGGGCCAGGCCGAGAGGAGGAGGAGGAGGAGGAAGAGGAGGAGGAGGAGGAGGGGGAGGCCAGCCCCTTCGGAAGCCTTGCAGCAGAGCTGAACAAGAGACCAGCAGAAGAAGAGAACAAGGAGAGTTGGAAGGGACCCTGGAGGTCTTCTAGTCCAGCCCCTTGCCCAAGCAGGAGACCTCATACCTGTGTTTCTCAACCTTGGTAGCTTGAAGATGGGTGGACTTCAACTCCCAGAATCCCCCAGCCAGCAACGCTGGCTGGGGGATTCTGGGAGTTGAAGTCCACCCATCTTCAAGCTACCAAAGGTTGAGAAACACTGCCTTATACCATTGCAGACAAGAGGCTGTCCAGTCTCTTCTTAAAAGCTTCCCCCATCAGGAAATTCCTCTTTATTTCCAGGCCGCTTCTCTCCTTGACCGCTTTCCATCCGTTGTTGTTGTTGCTTCTCCTGCTGCCTTCAGGGGCATTGCAGAACAGGCTGACCCCCCCCCCCCCTTCTTGGGGGCAGCCGAAGGCTGTTATCAGAGGTCACAAAAGCCCCATGACGGCAAAGACAGCCTTGGAGGCTTTAAGAAAAACGTTTTTGGAGGGCAAGTGTGGCCCAGCCACAGCCAGCTCTGCTCTCCACCCCAAGGACATCTGGCGAGACCAGGAGGCTGGCAGCTGGCAAGGATCAACCGTGTCTGTGTGTGTGTTTGGAGTGGGGGGGGGCATGTTTCCAGACAGCGGCCATCCATGGGCAAGAGGCCGATGGTGGAAAGGAGTTCAGCTGCCGAGGAGAGAAAAATCTGGCATGGCTTGCTGGCTCAGAGACGTCCCTCTTTGGAGGAACAAAGAACGTGACCAGAAACGGAGAAAAGTTGACCCCTGGCCCTCCAAAAATGCCTTGGACTCCAGAGCAGACCATTTCCTAAACTCTCTGCTGGGCTGCAAGAAAGCGGAGCCTAACCATTCGCCTTGGCCTGACCCGGTGGCTCTCCCGCAGGGCTCCTTCCCATGGGGTCGGTTGCCTCGATTTCCTAGGTACGACCTTGAAAACGAACAGCCCCACTAAGGCAAGCAAAGCAGGTTCTTATGGTGATGAAAAATGCCGCCAGCTGTGACCAAATTGAGACACCCGTGTCATCTCCCCCCCCCCCGCAAAACATTTAAAAAATAAATGTATGTTTTAGGGTGACCTGGGATTTTGGACTTGTTGCAGAGTCTTCTTTCAACGGAAAGGATCGATGTTGTGGCCCTTGGCCAATGGACTCGTCCACCTGGGACAGTTTGGAGGTTCGGACACCTGTTTTAGCAGGCAAATGTGAACGAAAGTGGAAGGAAGTGGCCTTGCCTTGAAAGCTCACAAAGGTTGCAAAAGTTGTGCAGAGCAGGACGGCAGCTGCGTCGACCATCTGGAATAATTTCTTGGTTTTCCCAGCCTCTGCAGGAAAGTTTGTTTATTTACAGGACAGGTACAGAAGGCAGGGGGTGGAGAAAAAACGATTTCCGTTTTATTTCTTGTTTCCCGTTCCATTGGCAAGAGGCAGAGGCCATGTGAAAACTCAGGGGTGGCAGACGGAGGCAGAGCCGGAGAAAGGATTTGTGCACCTGAGTTTTTGGAAGCACCGTTTTTTCAAGGTCATATCATTGCAGACCCCCTCTCCCCCCCAAAAGACCCCATCAATGTTATTTTGTCAGAGAGGAGGAGCTGTAGGCCTGTCCTGCAATACCCCTCCCCAAGCTAAGCTGTTCTTTCAAAAAGGTTCTGTACAGGTAGAGCTCTGCTTACAACAGATTATTTAGGGACTGGCTGAAGTCACAGTGGCACTGAAAAAAAGGTTGGTTGCAGTGTCCTGGGGTGAAGCAGAAATAGGGGAGGGGCCACTGTCCGGTCTCACACTTGCTGGAGGGGATGTCCCTTTACTTGCAAGGACTGCTTGAAATTTTTTTTTTAGTTCATGGGCGTTCCAATATTTGAGGGGGAAGCCAGTGGAACTGCTTGCCTCCAGAGGCCGCGGGGGCTTCATCCCTGGAGGATTTTA